TACTTTTTGTCAAGTGAGAAGGATTAGAAATAGAAGATTTGATCCTACAGGATCTTTTTCATAATTTCTAGATCTTGTCTGCCTCTTCTAGAGTCTTACAGATGGGTAATTTATACTCAGAGTTTATGTTCGGCCTTTGGAGTGCTGGGAATATCACCAAACCTGAAGATGGAATTGAACTGCTAACGTCATGTGTATCACTTGTGCATAGATTATTTAAGAAGTAACAGCTGAGGAACTGACATAAACTTACTGCACAAGAATGCTTGGATTCGTCGAGGATTTGTGCACAAGGAGAGTTTGATCTATGGCTCATGGTAATGTACAGGGGGTGATTCATGATATGTGTAGTCTACATCTACCAGCGGGTAAAAGTTTGAGTGATATCAACCTGGTTTACGGGTAAAGAGACAACGAAAGTGTGGGGTTTGATAACGGGTAGGATGTTGGCAATGAGTTAACGTATGTATTTTTAATGTCAGTAAAAAAAGTAGTATGGATGATGACACTGCCCTCTACGATATGATAAGTTCATGAGTGTAACACAAGAAGCTTGAAGATTGTCCTCTCCCATTCCCTTCACATTTTATGTTTTGTGTGCCAGTATATTCTGTGGCACTATTCTTTTGACTATCCGGCATCTTAAATACCTGGTGGTTTCTTAGGAAAAATTCCTGCGCACTCCACCTGTTTCTTTCCTCCTATTGGGGTGTGAAGTATTCACTCCAAGCTGTCATCTATCAAGCAGAGATTGGGTATACTTTACAGTATAAAAGAACTCTAATAACATCCATCCTCAATCTGTAAACTTGCCCGAAAAGGATTACCCGCTGCAGAAAATCTTCTCTTGGGATAATCGTAGGATGATGCAGTATTTAGCTTTACTTTCACATCTTGTTATTTAATATCAAAAAGCTTTTTTGAAATATTGCTCTCGATGGATTTACTCGATCGTAAATATATCTATCTATCTATCTATCACTTGCAATTGACAGCAAAAAAGACAACGACAATATCGACGATGCTTCTGTCAAACGACCTGCAGAAATAAGCGAACATGGCCATAGAAAATCCAATTCAGTATAATTACAATCAACGCACGATCCAGTCACCGGTATCTTTCACTCCTGGACCCCATTTGTCGCAAGGGAGGATTCCTTTTACTCCTGCTTCAACGATTTCGGGATCTTTATATAAGTATTCCTTCAAAATTCTGGAATTTAAAGATTCACTTCATCTTTGCTCCATACCTACTAGTAATCTTACATTCTCTATCTCTGATCAGCAAGCCCACCAAATGGATTCAGATACCCGACTCCTGGATATACAAACTCCACTCCTCATAGAGAATCCAAACGCATTCAAGTATGTTACTTTTGAACCAATACTGGCCCATGTGTCTGGGGCACTCACGAGATCCGAGTCTCAATTGACTCGTGCTTGTAGTTTGGAAAACTTCGACAATTGTTGGATCTGGATGGACGGAGAGAACGGAAGTAGAAATGGGGATATAGATGCAATAATACTTCTATACTTTGACAACAAGTACCCATTCAATCTATAGATAGAAATCGGATGAGAGAAATCATACCACGAAAAACAACAATATGTATCTATAAGAAGCAACCGCAAAAATCCCAATATCTCAATTCTCATCTTGAAAACGCCACAGATAAAACAACACTTCCACAAACTCCTCGCAAATCAATATCGAAATCTCAAGCGTGGTGAGTATCTAGTGATTCACACAGGTTGGAGCATATCCATAGCTCCTATTACCGTTGAATGGGGATGGGGAATCAAGATACTGTGTTGGTTGTCTTCATATACCCAGGTATTTACCCACAGACAGGTACTTGAGTACTCCGAGTGAATACTCCAATCCGCCAATCAGAGTGTAATGAATTAATAGGCTTTCCTTCCAGGATTAATATGACTACCCGTGGACCTATGTAGCAGGGACGGAGAGGAGGGATTAGTTCTCCTGGTATTCACTGGGCATGGATAAAACCCTCCGATCCCGAGAAACCAACGAACTTGACAAATATCAAACCCCCCTGAGAGGGACCGACAAGGGGCTGTGATTAATGGATTATGTGAGGTCAAGATTTTTTTTTTCGGCTTTTGGGATATGATACCACGGTTTCATAGAGGGGAGGGTTTCGTTTTTGCGTCTTTCACGCGTTGTCGTTTTCTTGTATTTTAAGTGTTGTTGTTGTCATTTACGGATAACCATGTATAATTAAGATTAATTGCTATATAAAAAGATGAGAACAAAGTTGAGAAGATACTCATTGATTATCGTGACCTTTAGCAGTCGATCAATTTGCACTTCCCATAACAAGTGAGACCACTTCAAAAGAAGTATAACTCGACCCCATGTATCCTTTATTGAAATACATTTACTGAGAATCCATCTCGTCTTTTATACTTTGATTTGCAAAAAAAAGAGAAGAAAAAAAAACTATATATAACACATTAATTAGTAGATTTGTATTATACTTAACGTAATTCATCACCGAGTGGATTATATCACCGAGTGAATCACTTTCATTTCAATTGACATATTCAAATTCATATTATTCAATAACTATTGATTCAGTTAATTAAAGCTATTAAGAATCTAATAATCTAGGATTTATTATATCAATTTAATAAGTTCTTATATTATAACCTATCTTTCCATAATTATTACAATATCAACTAGAAGATACTTCTCTATTAGAATTCCCCTTATTTTGATGCTTGTTGTATTGAATCTGAATATCAACTTTTTGTTGAAATAATATATCTATAGCCTTCTATCCAGTAAATACTTCTCCTTAACGTATTTATATCTTTTTTGCATGTCAATATTGACTTAATGCTTCATTAGCTTTTCGAAGTGTACGGTTTTCTACACTTAAAAGTGTATTCTTATATGCTAGTCTCTTTATACTCTTAGCTAAAACTAATACAATCTCAAATAAAGATACAGGAGAACTTGATTGATAACAAGTTATTCGAGATTTAACTAGTGTTGATTAAGAAAGAGCTTTTATAGGATTATAAGGAGTTTAAGAGACCCAAAGATCTAAATTGAAAGGGGGGGGGGGAGTAGGCGTATGAATTCAAATATCTAATTTGGAAAGCACTGCTTTAGGATCAAATGGAACTAATTCTGCTCTTCAAAACCCAGCTTTCATATTCTGATTTATAATTGACCATTGATATACAGTTTTAAAAGCTATAAAGAATTCGATCTTTGAGATATAATTAATATATACTCTTATAAACCCCTCAATTTGAATACTATATTCTCATTTTAAAGTACTAAAACATCTAATATTAAGAGGCTGAATTAAATAACTTGAATATAATAGTAAACATATATATTTAATATCATTCTCTTTATAATAGTTTTGGAATGGTATTGATTCGTGGCTCTTATGCCTATCTAGTACTAGCATTTTATATTTGCCCTTAGTTCGATTTCTTGTATATTTATCGAAGTGTTTCAACCATTCTAACCCTATCTCATTATTCGTCTATTCATTAGAAATAGGTTTAATAGCCCAATCTACAGGAAGATTGGTTTCTATATACCAATTGGAAAGATGCATCTATCCTTGAACTATTAGAAATGGAGGTATAGTGTTCCCCTCACTATTGCTATATATAATCACTATTGCTCATTCTCGATTGCCTAGCTGTATAACTTTACTCCTACTTGTTACGGGAGCTGCCTCTAGGGTCACGTGGAAGTGGCTAGAGATCTCTCGAGGTGGTTTAGACTAGACTTCAAGTAGGAATTCAATAAGGTTGTAACTGGTTGCAATTCTCGTAACTATAGTAATGAAACTAATGATTGTTCTTGAGCACGAAGCTCTACATTATAATGAAATCCCATTCCTTTATATAGATCTTCGTACCTCATGAATCGACAAGTCGATTACCGTAAAGCCGATTTCGACAAGTCGGTTTCCTGATCACGTGATGTCCATCCCGTGATCTATAATGATGCTACCGCTTATCTAACCTGTGCTCTCTAGCCGATTGTCCCTACAGCGCTGTTTCCGTAGGTCCCAACACCAAGGCCTTAGGTTTATCTTATAATCCATGTTGCGGTGCGGGTACCTCCGTAACACTACTAGATCCCTTAGAGCTAGTAACAACCATACCAGCATTTATAATTCCTATTATAAAGCCTGTTTTATTGAAATTCTATAAATTATAATCAAAAATACCAAATTTGTTTTGTATATTTGATATAAGTCGGAATCAATCTCCAATAAGCTTAGGATCTTTGTAGAGAGCTCTTTAAAAGTTATAAATACAAGTAAAACATATCCTTAACTCTTTATTACATTTTACGAATCGATATGCTCATTACTTTCCAATTCTCTTTGCTCCTCTTAATTCAAGAATATAATTCATTATATCTTCCACTCCCTTATATTTAGATACAAAACCTCTTATATCCATATCAATTATATATTGAATAATAATCTCCTCTTTTAATTTCGAAAGATTACTACTATTTGATAAAGATTCAATACAAAAAGTAAAACCATTTATTCTATAATGTAATATTGTATATAGTATATTATATAGCTTAATAGATTATTGAATACTAAGTTTTTTATCTTTTCGAATAGCCTCAATAATTAAGAGTATTCGAGCTTTATTATTATTCGATTATATAATAATTAATTGATAAAATGTATATTGAATTGAGATGTGAATATTTGAGGTGAAAGTGATCCACTCGGTGATATGATCCACTCGGTGATGAATCACGTTACCGGTATTTGTATTTTTGGATCTTCAGCTACTCATCTCGCTCGAGCTTCCTCAATGCCATAATGGTATATAGTAATAGTATCATACAGTCATTTCTAGAATATAGAATATACATACAATTTATTCATATAATAACCTATTCTAAGTTTCTCCATCCCCCCAATCAACCAATCACCCCACCTCCCCATTCCATCCCCCACCAACCCCCAACTCAACCCTCACAACTGATACCTAAACCCTCTATCCACCTCCCCACCCTCCACCGTTCCCTTCCCCTCCTCAATCCTCCTATTCAACCACTCATACGCGAATCTCATCGCCACCATAACACTAATCGCCATGGCCGCCATAACAAACAACACCTTAAACCCATTATGATAATACGGTTTATCACTCGCCTGGAAAATATGACTCGCAGGCACGGCGCTCAAGTTCGTCATCGCCATGTATAGCGCGACGGCGATGGCGCGTCGTCGAGGGGTAGGTTGGTTTGCGTTGAGCCAGGCGACGTTGAGGGGGTGCCAGGAGGGAGAACCGCCGGTGAAGACGAGGAAGGCGTAAAAGGTCCAGTTGCTTTTTGTGTGGGGGAGAGTCTGGGTGGGGAGTGTTAGTTTGGGAGTTGGGATGAAGTTGGGATTAGGGATGGGAGTGGGCATGGAGTGGAACTTACATCGAGAACGATCAAACCAACAAGTAACCACACTGCAGCAAACATAATCGGTATACTTCTCGAATTCATTTTATCACTCCACCACGAAAGTGTAAATGTAGTGATAATTAAAAGCGCACTATTAGGCATAACCAACAAATCCGAATTAAAAGTTCCGAATCCAAAACTTTTAATGATGGATGGAGAATATGTCCCAATGGGAGGAGAGTATTCCAATCCGAGCAACGCCATCGAACAATGCGCCCAGACTTTCCAATCGGTGAGAACAGAAATTACGATTTGAAATTGAGAGAGATGGGAATCGCGGGGATCGGTATTGTATGGATTATCGCGGACGAGTCGCCCGAGGAGAATTTCGGATTCGCGAGGAGTGAAGGATGAGAGGGGAAGTCTGATGATGGAGTTTCCATGGCTGGGATCACGGGGTAGGAGGAAAAGTGTTGCGATGCCTACTGTGAGAGTGGCGAGTCCGTCTATTGTATGATTAGAAAATGTGTACGCTGAGGAAATGAAGATATCACATACCAATAAGAAAAAGCCATTGCCATCCTGCCAAGTCTGCTCTTCCACGAAGTCGCAACAAACCGTATGCAATGAGACCATTAAGTAGATTCGCCGTGTAGCTGCAATGAAGAATAAAACTGTTCGCTTTCCCAATTCACGTTTGGTATACCATTTTGTGAGATACCATAACGTGCCGGGAATAAATCCAGATTCACATAGCCCAAGTAAGAAACGTGTTGCTAGGAACCCAGATTTGTTCTTGATGAAAGCTTGGAAAGTAGCTACGAGACCCCAGGCGAGAAGTTGACATGGAAGCCAGATATCGGCACCAACCTATTGAAATGTTAATACGAGGACTTGGGGGAAAGTGGTAAACTGTAAACCTTCTGAATCATCAGATTTGCGGGAATATCTCCAATGCATATACCGACGTAGACAAGACTATTTCCTGTATTGACAATTTCTTGATTCATGGAAAGATCCTTCATCATATTATCTGTCAGGGCATTTGAAATATTGCCTCTGTATGCTATGTTAGCTTTTCTGTATTTAGGAATTGGTGATCTTGAGTATACCTGTCCAAGTTCAAAGTGAAGAACATAATCATGACGAGAGGAATTAGATAGAAATCCAATCGTCTCAAGATCTGTTTCTCTTCATCTTCATGCCATTCAACTGCTAAAAGTCGTTTATTGAGCTCGGAGTTGCTCTTCTCGGTAGGATCCTCATCGACACTATCAACCCGAGCTGTGATATCGTTCGTTGGCCCCATTGTCTATGATACTCTGGATGTAAGTTTTCAATAGATATTGAAACTATACACTGACTTCTAAGTACTTGCCAGTGTTCCGCCGAACAACTGGTTGACCGTAGTCTTTTCAAGCTTTTCAAGCTTTTCAAGCTTTATCTTATCTCAATACAAGTATCGCACGTTTTGTGATTGATACATGGGAGTATCTCAAAAGTACCCTAATCGACGCCAAACAAAAGGCGTGCTTCGGAGACGGTTTTATGTCACTTTGGTTATCCAAGCCAATCAATTAAGGCTAGAAATATCGAGAGTCTGGATGTGGTAGCGATGCAGATACACAAGCGAGATGTTGCGAATCTTACCCCTGACATGGCGTCTTTAAAAAATGCAGACCTCGTCGGTTTTCACACTTGATTGCTGGATTAATTTATTGTGTCACAATGTTGGTTTATCGTGCCTTATTATATCCCTAATCTTTCATACTCTTTCGGTGTCGGTATGTTGAACAGCGATAGTTTGTAGTAAGATTAATAACATTTTCTCAATTATTTTTGACCCCAATTGACTTCAACCTGAAGATTTTCTTTTTAAGCATTTTTACTTTTCTGACTTCAAAAAAGATAGCTTGCAAACTGAAGCAATGGCGATATTTAACGATTCCACCGAGACTGTCATTGCAGTGGCTGAATCCCCAGTAGGAAAATCAACCAGCAGTTCTTCCAAACAACCACAGCTGCCACCGAAGCCTGAGAACTTACCTCATCCCGAATACACTACGCCAAGAGGTGTATCACCTCTGATATCTGTACCCAAAGCAGGGTTACAGTATCCGAATTATACGCCTTTTAAGCTCCCAGATTTGGTCGAACATCCATTTGCCAATAGAGGAATTGATTCCGACCCGAAGAAAAGTAAATTACTTGGTGCGGCATTAGAAGTAAAACATCTGACTCCATCCATTGGAACCGAGCTTGTAGGAATCCAACTCACATCTCTCGATGATACTCAAAAGAATGAACTCGCTCGATTGGTCGCAGAACGTGGAGTTGTTTTTCTGCGAGATCAAGAAATGGATGTTCATGAACAAATAGAGTTTGGGTCTTATTTTGGAGAACTTCATATCCACCAGATGGCAGGAATTATACCTGATTTGCCATGGGTACATCCAATTCATAAGGATGAAACCGCCAAAAATGGTCGATCCCATCAAATATGGCATTCGGATGTGAGTTATGAGATACAGCCACCCGGATTGACCTTTTTGAGAATGGATATGCTTCCAAAAGCTGGACCTGATGGATATGAAGCTGGTGGAGATACGATTTGGGAGAGTGGTTATGGTATCTATGAGTGTAACGTTGTCCAATGCATAAATGATGTCTACAACACTAATACTTCTTGTCATAGCATTATCTCCAACACTCAAAGGAATTTTGGAAAATCTGGAAGCAAAACATAGTGGTCTTGAACAAGCCGAGAAAGCACTTAGAGGAAATGGTTGTCTTCGAAGGAATCCTATCGAGACAATAGTAGGCATCATATACCACCACACACATAAAGTCAACTGGCTTACCAATAAATCCTACAGCACCCTGTCGTAAGAACACATCCAGTAACCCAACAAAAGACTTTATACGTGAACGAAAACTTTACCAAGGAAATTGTGGGTGTCGAAAAACGATTCAGCGAATCTCTCCTCGATTTCCTCAATCGATACGTTGCGGAAGCATACGAATATCAAGTGAGATGGAAATGGTCCACCAATGCAGTTGCAATTTGGGATAATCGTGCTACATTTCACACTGGAATCTTTGACTATTGTAAGTATTGATTGTACAACCAAACTTTTGGCAGACCATATACTGATAGTGATACGTGATTAGATCCTCACCTTCGTCACGGATTGCGTGTTGCTACCCAAGCAGAAAAGCCCACCAAATGAATTGGAACATTGTGATGGAATGAACGATTTACTCATCGGCTCAATTGATGGACTAAAAACTCTGGCTCGAAATGTTTCATTTGAACAAGATGCGGGGTTTCTGAGGATGTATATGAAGTTATTGGTGTCTTCCAGTATATAATAGGCTCTAGATGAAAGCGAATATTCTCATTGACCTCTTTCCATACCATTTGTTGAACATATATCTTGCCGTGTTGAGTACTATCTTTTCTTGGTGCTCTTCAGGGTCGCAACTCACTAGAATTAATGCGACCCAAGATAATCGCCTGTGTTCCCAGAGCCAAGACAAACTAGAAATAGTGAATCGTCCAAGGCTGGATAGAATAGAGAATAGACCATCTGAAGTTCTCGAATTCCCGAATGTCTCAAAGTATATTTCATCAAGACCAGACTAGGAATGACTTACATACTCACTAGCTGGGTAGGCAGAGACAATGATCAGGTACCCAGTGTAATAAAAGTTTCCGGTTGAGAGTTTCGTCCACCATTTCCAAATCTTCACCCTTCCCTTGCTTCATTCCTCGTATATTCTCATACTTGCCTGGACGTCTGCAAATGATTCGGATATTGCATCTTGGTCGTGTTAAACAATTTCCTCCTCATGAGAGGTAGGCTTTCAATAGCACAAAGTGTGAATAATCTCTGCCAGTAAAGATTCCATGAAACTTTACCTCGTTCAGAGTTGAACAACACACTCTCATTCCCAAGAACATGATTTGTCGTCATTGCTGTTCAACAACCATTCCTGCTTTTCAAATTGTTTCTGGGAGAGAAATCATGCTGCGTTGGAATCGAGATGCATCAATCGTATGTAACCTTCGTGTAAGGATAGGCAGAACAATTGAAGGAAGAGTCAAGAAATTGAACATTCGCAAACGTCTGTTAACCTTAGTGGCAGCGATAAGCCATGAACAACTCTTACTACCTAGTAGTTAGATGGTATTATATGGTCAAGAATAGTAGTACTCACCACTGAGTACATTACTTCCACTTTTTGAACATGGAAACTGGACAGCCACCATGTTTTATCAAATACTGACACTGTCATGTCAACGGCTGCCAAACTAGAAAAGGAGATGCTGTAGATGTTGCTGTCGTCACCCCACAGCTAAAGTGGCCCGTGATAAGCTTTATCCCAGTATCACATCACCCCTCCAGACTAGAAATCTTCTAACAATAACATGATAATTTTTGTATTTAGCCTGCATTGTGATCTATCTGATTTGGCTGGTAATTTAGTACAATTGACACGCATACACATAATCTTATCAAATCACACTACCTACCATCCAACTCGAAGTCGACATCATCTAGTCCGCCGCTGTGCCTTGCGTGTTCAACTTACCCCATATCTATTATCCATACCCATGAACAAAACCAAAGAAAAAATCTTGTTTCCCACGAGCCCGCCAACACGCAACAACCAGGATTAAATCTCGTCAAAAGAGTGTACCCAGCAAGCAAGATCCTGAATCTGGACCTCGATGACATCACACCAGCTTATTTTCCTGCTTCTTCCAATCTTTTTTAATGTATGAAGTCCCACCAGCCTCGTTGCTGGTTTTCCATCTCCTAATTCCACTTAATCCACCGTCACGAAGAAACCAACTATAAAGACCTTCTCAAAGCAATTTTTTTCTCACTTGGTTTCCTTTCTGATGTCCTTTATACTCGAACCCTCATCCGAAGCCTATCGCGAACGCAAAGCCAAGAAATCGCGCTCGCAGCCCCAAGCTCAAAACCAACAGCTCCAGAGCCAATCTCCCCCCCAACCTCAAAACATGTCGATGCAACAACAACAAAATGGCGGCGGGCAGTTAGCCCATAACTTCCAACAAAACTTCCAACAAGCAAAACAGCCCGACACCAGTAAACCTCGATACAAGGGAGGAAACTACGGACCGGGCACCATATCGCAACGTATTGAAAAAGCCATGTACGAACTAGAGCATCAAACCTGGCGCTGTCGTCTCGACAAGCCCTCCGGCCTCCTCGAATACATTGATCCCAAAGCCGTGTTTGCCTCTCCCGAGTACGGCATTCTGACCAATGATTCCGAACCCACGTTGAAGGAAACGCTCGAGGATGACGATATGCGGACGTGGAATTCCTACGAGATTAAGGATATGAAGATCGTAGAGGTCAGTATGATGGCTGCGACCGTCGTGTATGATGTGACGGCGAGTATTACGGATGAGAAAGGGTATCCAAAGGGTATCTATAAGGCGTATTGTACGAGTTGTTGGAAGCAGGAGGCGAGTGCGGATTGGAAGTTGTGTACTTATACCGAGGCGCCGCATCCTTAGTGGAGGGGTAGGAGAGCGGGGATGGTTAGCGGGAGCTTGCTTGGAAGAATGGAATAAGTAAAAGGGGGATTAATTATGATGTTATGTTATGTCTTGGGGGATGGATGTACATGGTGTCTGACTGATGGATGAGGCGTGGGTTGGCATGGCACGGGCATGTTTGGTGTTTGGAAAGGTAGGATGATATAGGAGTTTTAATGGATATTTCGTCATCAACATTGTTTATTTTTTTTTCAATGATTTTACCGATTAGCGTATTCACACCAGTTCTATGAGTATTCACTGATACTTTCTGTTCTCACACATGCCGGACCTCTATTCACTACTATTGATCGTGGCATCTAACCGGCCAGAGACAAATAATTCATGGGATGGTGGTGCCAGTATGAGATCCCAATACCGGAATTCAATATCACAAAGCGGAATGCTATCGTCCTATTCAAGCACACCAATATATCACAACATCCCTCATCCAAACATCCCAAACATTCATAACACCCCTCTCCCATCCCCCCTCATCCCCCCTCATCCCTCTAAAAAGTCCCCCAATAATGCTTATCATAATCCCCCTGAGGCTTCCACAACGGCGCAGGCGTATACACTGGAATCGGCACCGCCGTACCATACCCCGTCGTAGGCACCGCCCAACTTGGCCACGTGGGCGTCGCCCATCCCGTCGGCGCACTAGTAATCGTATACGTACTCGTATAGGTTTTTGTTTTTGGATCTACTCCCGCACCCAAACTGACAATTCCGTCGTTAGTCCCATAGACATTATCGCCCTGGCCGAAAATGTTAGAAATGTGGTTTACACTTGTGCTTCCGCTTTCGGTCCAGACGGTGACGTCTTTGATGGTGACGTTTGTGGCGGGGATGTAGTCGGAAGCTAGGAGGTAGAGCGTGGGACGTTGAGCGCCGTTTTGGATGGAACCAGTAAAGTTGCGGAAGGTGATGTTGGTTAGGGCGACAGCGCCACTATCGGGGAGATAGGTTTGTTGCCAGTATTGGTTGAGGTTTATTCCGTAGAGAGATGCTTTGGAACGGAAGTTTTCCCAAAGGATGTTGGAGACGTAGCCGGAGCCACCAGGGTAGGTCTTGATGAAGACAATTTCGTTACCGCCGAGCACGGATATATTGCGTGCATGCTGGGTGGAGGGTATGTTAGTTTAAAGAGTAAGAGGGGGGAGGAAAGAGAAGGGGAGAGACGAACAATATTTGATATCTCAGCCGAAACATTCAAACTCCCAATTGAGATTCCCGAGCCAACTTGGTTACAAACCAAATTTTCCACCAGCGCGTGATGGGAAGGACTTTTGACAGATACGCATTCATCTCTGTTCGTCACCTGTGAACACCCATGTTAATTTCACTTTCCTTCACTGTCCTCATCAAATTCCATGGTAGTCTGAAAGAATTACAAGATCTAGAAATCATACCTCATTATCATGAACCCAATAATTGGTCCCAATAGCATCAATCCCATCATAAGAACCCAAATTAGCTCCACGGATAGTCAGGTGATATACTTCAATATTCTCACCAAAATCAAATATGAAGTGGAATTTGGGACTATCGATCAAAAGCAAGTCATGAACTGTAGCATTTATTGGAGAAATCAGACGGAGCATTCGTGGTCGATTGGTGCTAGGCAGTTGTCAGATACATCCAAGTTCCAGAAGGGAAAAGGGATAACTTACTTTCCATTAATACGATACAAATAACCTTGCCCTTGGATTGCTCCAAGACCATTAGAGGAATAGAGTTCAAAATCAACGGCTACGTTTGTTTAGTTCAGAAGAATCAAAAGAGAAGGAATGGCCATCTTACCATTGATAATGACAATTAAGTTCTCCAAAAACCCTCCGTCACCCTCCCCATTAATAGTACTATTCGATACCTCAACGTCCGTAATCCCTTCACCCAGAATTTCTCTCGGCAATACATACCTATTTAACTTTTCTACACCTGCGAATCCCTCTAAAATCCTTGTGCGAGGTACAACATATGGTACAACATAAGTCGAATCCGTTGAATTGGGGTAATAAGTCGCGGTAATAAGACCATCGAGTTGGAAAGCCCAATTGGTCGCATTACTCAAGATGATGCTAGTTTTGAGCGTGTAGTTACCAGCAGGCACAACTAAACGACTACCAGCATGTTTTTGAACACAAGAGGTAAAGGCGTTAGTGATTGGGATAGAGACATCGTCGGTGAAGGGATTGAAGGTTGGGTATAGGGTGCGAATGTTGCACTCAGTCGTCTTTTTGGAAAGAGGTGTGGTTGCGCCAACTGGTCCAGTAAGTTGTGATTGTGAAAATAGACCCAAGTGAAGGAACAAGAGTAGAGATGCTTTGATTGAAAACATGTTGAGTACCTGATACCTCTCTAAAGACGACACTATAATAAATGTACCTACAATCGTATTATGCTCGCACACAATAATATCGTCAAATAGACGTACGTTTCACGAATTTTGTCACAATCGCAGAACCCATAACGGACTTCAGATCTGCAAATTATAGGGAAGAGATTTTGCACCAAACATATATCTTCAATGAGATTTTTAATATATTGAGCCATAGATTTGAAAGACAGGTGGGGCTGTACCCCGTGAACGTCATGATCAAGGGGTATGGCGCATTTGGGTGACATTCGGTGACTCGGGCGAGTTATGACCGTGAGTCAGCACCTCCTTCCCTATTTCAAGTCTTCGGCATGCAAAGGTGTATTGAGGTGGTATTTTGCTATGTGTTGGTTTTGGGTCGAGTGTATTTCATAGGTTACTTGGATTTGCCAAGCCTGTTTCCACTGCACCTTCTCCTCATCACCCCAAAGTCCGGTTTTGAGCTTCTCATTCTCTTGTCGGTGCAATATTCAAACAGAATCTCAGCTACGCTCAATAAAGCTGCATACATGTTGCCCACAACATGGACATCGATATGGATACCGTCAAGTAGAAGCTGTGAAAAATTGATAAGACTGGCTCTGAAAATTACAAATTCAGCACCAGTCTCTCAAGATCGCTGTTCGACATCCGAATTTTGAAGCCGCGCAAGCCTTTCATCTTTCCGTCGGACTGAAAGTTTCTTTGTCTCATTTATACTTGTACACTGGGCTATACATACGTGAATAGATCCAGTTTTTATACCTCGCAAGGAGAGCCAAAACCAAATTTTTAGGAAAGTAGGGTATATTTCCCCCAACCATTGGCCTCTTCTTGGCTAATACAGATACTTCTCAGCTCTATAACAAGCGTTGGTGCATGAATAACGGGACTAGTCAAGGTAACAAATCCTAATAAGGTGGTGAGATGTACTGAAATTAGTCTAGCTACTGACTACTTGATCCCCAAACAGAAATTAACTGTGCGGATTATCCAAACTCAGCCAAGAGCTGTAGCTGTAAAAATATTGCGCCATGGAGTGATTAGGATGGATATGATGAGAAGTGTTGGTAATTAAACATGAGATTCCGTGCTGAACGATGGTGCTACCAAACCCAGAAAAGAAGAGGCAAACATTGAAGTGCACAGTTAGGGACGACGCTGAATTTTTCTCGCCTGATTCCCATGATCTACTTGCGTGAATACTCAAAGAACTTCTTGCAAACTGCCGAGTAGTAAAAATCAACTCCTTTTTGGAAGATCATTATAGTCCCGAGTTTAGGGGAAAAAGTCTGTACTTAACTAGCAAAGATGATGTATGCTTCAACAACCGATGCAAGTGGGATGAGTCACTTAAAGGTCATGTCGTAAGCTCGCACAAACACGTAAAAAATGTGGTATCTGATCCTCGGATCGCGTAGTCGAGCAACGCATGGAACTCATTTGTCTGTAGAATCTCGAATTTTGCAAGAGGTATAAAAATCAGATATGCTCTATAGGCCTTTGATCAATCATCTTAGGAGCTCAAGGAGAAACAAAGATGCCATACAGATCCACATTCCATGTATCACAAAGAAAAGCTACATAAATTTTGATGATGAGCGACTAGCCCTCGTAAATGAATGACGAGTTCTTCGACCTGGACTTGACTGGATCATTCCCCTCTAGCACTCCGTTCTTCGCTTGAAGATAACGCAGTAATTCTCTGGTGAAGCCTAGTCCTGAATTTATCAGCGTGCACGATTTTCAGTTGATATATACCTGAAATCCACAATAGAAGCTGATTGTTTGCTTTTAAACCTCAGTATCGAATCGCATCGTAGGGAGATCAGGAATAAGACGGGCACTGGATGCCAAAACCCTTTATTTACTCGGCAGAACAACTTGATTTTGCTCGATGATCTCATAAATAGAACCTACTCGAAGAACGTACCCTCGGTAATCTTTGAAAATAGCCTCAGGTCATGTTTGCTGAGTCCAAGAATGTTTCTTTTCACTATCGTCGACGCCAAGCCATAGTATATCCGGACGACTGTAATGACTACCGACATCTAGGAATACTTTGTACTTGAGTATATCTTCTATATACAAATCCGCATAGATTATACCCGCTTCAGCCTCTGGAATATCCGTAGAGAGTTTTCGAGCATCCGGACCAAAAATTGCTGAACTTCCTCCCCCCGGGGCCTTCATTAAAGCGTCGGCGCTTGTGTTCATTCTATCAATGCCATATTGAGTCAAAACAGCTGTCGTGTGAGAAATAAATGTTCGAGATTCGATTGCGTATGTCTGTGATAAATTCTGGGTACCTTTTGCGTTTATGTGAGCATTGAGTAGGCTCTATTGTGATATTGAATGTACAACAAACCTTCTTTCGACATTGACCATAGTCCTGGATCTCCGTCATGCTCAAAAACGGGTGGCTAAACAGCCAAATGAAAATCTTCTTTTTGAAGTATTGTATTATACTTCAATAGTGGTTGAGAATGCTCCCAGCATACCAGAGCACCAATCCCACCAAAGCCTAGAACTTCTGCAACATTCTTCAAGCAATTGCCGGATGCATCTCCAGATACAGCACTCTCCATATGAGTAGGCTTTAATTTTCTTCTTGCATTGTAAGATTGCCATCATTCCTTATAGATGCCTGAGAAATGTATAGAGTTGTTGTCATCTTCCGAGAATCCAATTGACACAGTGATGTTGTTTTAAGCTGCACAAGCACAAATTTGTGCCATCTGAGGAGAGTTGCTTTTCAACGAGTTTTTCATGTATGTTGTAAAGAATTCGAAATCAACAGGGCGGGACCTGAAATTTTGATCGTGTTAGTTCGTCCTTCAATTGACAGTTTGCTAAATTGATATACATACCAGATCAAGCTAGGTACTCAGGTATCCAGCATTCGGGGAAAGTAATGAACTTTGCTCCATTCGTAGCTGCTTGAACTGAAAGCCGACAGGTCTTCTCCATAGCCTTCTCAAGATCTAACCATTCCGGTTCTGCTTGTGTTACTGCAACTTTCGTTGTTTCTTCTAAGTGTCCCACTTTGTTCTATTCGTTCGGTGAATTTAATGAAGGATAAGCTTTCCAGGTGCGGCCAACTTACCCTAAAATTGGGAGGAGTTGTCACCCTCGAATTTTATACTTTCGTGTGTGAAGGGATCGATGATGCGGGATGGCAGTAAGCTTGGTGCACGTAGCGGGGTAGGAATAACTGCTCCATTTCCGCGGAACTATAAGCACTGAGAACTCCGCCGCCTCATGGTGACTATCCGGACTTTGAATCGGGCTCCGAGAACAAGTTTGAAGGGGAATTCGCGTGGTAAGAGAAGGTATCTCAGGCCCACATACGGGTTATATTGTTGAGCTGTACGAGTAAGTTCCAGAGAAATGATTTATTAACGCATTTTCAAGGTAGTTCCTGTGTGAATGGAGACCTGTGCCAAAGGAGTGTGGTTTTTTGAAGTAGAGTGGCATAGGTAATACGAAGAATACCTGTAGAAGTGCTACAGAGGGAGTCTATTTGTATTTAGCAGAAATTGGCCATCTTATCGAATACCATGTAGAGATACTTGATTGTCTGTTAAATGAGTGAGGCTGTTGACACTAAATTTCTAGTACCTTGTAGCACAGACTCAAGCTTTGCTTCCCCTATATTGTCTCCTTAACCAAACCTTGTCACTTTATATTCATGTCAACCTTGCCAACCACGACAATTAACCAAAAGTTGGGAAAAATAAATCCTCAACCATTAGTTTCTTCTGCAGAAATACACAACACAGATTTGTAGTTTGCTAGATCATATCCTGGTGGTTATTACGATCACCAACAGTCTTTAAGTGAATGAAAAGACTCGGCTGGATTCTGTCGATTGAATGCTTCAACAGAGTCATCAAATCTGTTTGATACAGCTTCTATTGATTGTATGTAATCATGGGGATTTGCATGATAAAGTTATTATCATCACTCAAGGTAATTCCACAGCTTGACGACAAGGATGTGCTCACTTTCCTTAACACTTGTTCATCAATATCAAGACCATGGTGGACAACATTCATTCTCACAACCTCAGTTTCTCCGATGTTTTTTTTTTGTAATTTTCTACTTTGTCTGACAGTAAGATCTATAATGGCCAGCTTATCTGATAGATCGAACCAAGCCTATCCTCTTCCTGCGCCCCTACTACCCTTCTGGTTCTTTCAACTTCTCCGGGGCTTGGAATTTACCACAAATATAAACTTGCCAACATGTCATTTTCTTTCCTTCTTATAGGAACTTCTTCTTTACTTCTACTCTATCATCTGTCTAAAAACAAACCCATCCTCATGGCAGCTTGAATCCCGACAACAAAAGGTGCCTCCTCTCTCGCTAGGGACTAACTCTCTGCTCTATTCAGCTGTGATGGCACTGAGCTTTACATGCCTCCGGATTTTTTCGAGTCAATCTCAATCCCCAGACGTTATCACCCCGAAGGACATTCTCTTCTTTCCAATGATCCTTGCAATCGAACCACAGAGAATGCGATCCGGAGAGTGCACAGAATCAACGCAAGGTTGGGGGATAGAACTAAATGATCAAAAGGCTATGAAACCAATATAACTCTATCTATTACGGCATGCAGATGAGTAAAAATATATAGGAAGAATACTGATGGCAAGAGCAGCGTCTCGATATCACCCAGCATAATTATGGGCTTCTTCATTGACTTGCTTAGTGTCCCACAACAACCCTCGGAATCAAGACTTCAAATGTTCTCGAGTATCCAACCAAGATTCATGATAATGCTCCAAAGCGCAAGACTGCTCAATTTCAGGTATGAATTTCATAGCTAACTTCAGCTATACATACTACGTTCTGGCTCGTACCATATCATCATGGACATGGGACTAATTGAGGAATGCGGTTGAAGAAAACGATGGAGGACTTCATTGATATATAAAGTGCGTACTCAGCAACTAAACATCAACGCTATCAACGCTATCCAACACCTTCAGGCTAGTTTGGAACTGGGAATTGCCAAACCTATGAATCTCTGCGTGCCTCGCCAGACATGGTCAGAATCATATTATGATTATGAATGGTATATACAAGTACCATAAACCGAGATAATAATCGCTTTTGAATTCAACATAATCTTCTTGGACATGGTCGTAGCTTCCAGACCAGATATTCCTCAAGTTGAGTTGAAAATGTAAGCACAAGTTCAGGATACCACGTTGTTTACTGTCACATTGAGATGTTTTGTGTTATGAGATTTTGATTACTACTTTATCGTGCTATAAATAAAGTTTTTGCTGCACTCTCAAGTGGGAGCAGAAGCCCTTGTAGAGCGATTATCCCGTTCCTGGAAACAAAACCATGAGCGCTGCATCTTAAGTCGCTTGAAAACGAAAGCAAGACCTCTGTTGATATTGCGAATTCTATTTTGAATATACCTTTCCGTTGAAGAATACTTCTTTGGCCCTCCTAGGCTGTATGCTATCTTGATTATTTTAGTGTACCAACTGGCTCTCGACTCGGACTGGCGAATTTAGTTCGATTTTTTGGTATTGGTGATGGTATGTGGTTCCAAACACTTGAGAAACATTTGGCGGGCTTTGTTGGACAAATAGTCTAGTTCTTTTTCACTAGCTCTTCCATTTTCAGCATTGAGTACTCGCGCCCTGACATCGAACTCATCACTGACTTTCAAGCCTTTGATCGCCTTCGCCACATCTAAAGCCACATCGCGCATGTTGTTGTGGAAGTAGAGCATTTGGTCTTTTGGCAAAGATAAGTAAAGTAATACCGTCTTGACGCATTGAAAATGCTCTGTGATAAATTTACAGAGGAGTAAGAATCGACAGAGTTCACAGTGGTCCGAGAACGACTTATCTACAGTGTGGTCTTGGTGATGCCACAAGTTATCCAAGTGTAAGCATATGTGTTTGACTTCTGCGTGGTTGTCCCGAGTGGTGCATCGCCGAATTTGTAGCTACAAGGCGGTTAGTTTGGAGTTCGGATCAGGGGGGTGGATTAAAATACATTTTTCTGTTTCTTGGACCCATTCAAAACAATGGTGCCAAAATGTAGACGCTCGCCGAAGTCAATAACAACATTATCCCAGAAGAAGTCGACAATTTCCTTCCAGAGATTGACATATTCATCATGTGTAACGTCCATCTTTTGTATCTGTTTACCCTTTCCTTTTCTACCCATAGTAAGACTGACACTGCTTGCTTCGTCCAGTTGGAGTGCATACTCGACTCTTTCTAAAAGCCATATTAATTTTTGAATACCCCGGTATTCGTTCGGCTTGAAGAAATCGAGCATTCCCTCTGACTGCTCCCAATCTTTCTCATTTGTCCAGTCCTCAAGATCATTTTCTGTAAGACCTAAAAAATCGTCGGATACGTAATGAATAGGAGGAAGAGCTCGGTGTACAGCTGAAACTCTTCTGGAAACAGCAAATCGTCTTCCATTACGAGAGAGGTGTGCATACTGGGAGTCAGGGGACCACGCGAATATCAAAAGTTTATAAATCCTGTATCGTACGCCGACAGGGAGCATCTTAAACAACTTCCAGAAACTGCTGGCTGTTAGTCCAAAATATTTGACATCAGTGGCGCAACACATTTGATCTGTACTTACTCAAGTGAAGTTGTGCCATCTCTGAGAAAATCGCCGATCGGTTTTACAGCCTTGAAGTTAGAACTGATTTTTGGTTCTTGTTTAGGACCAGGTTCTTGATAGAAATCGTCTTCAAACGACAAATATGGAATTGACCTTGATGGAACTGGCGCGTTTGCACTGCGAGGTCGGTCGTCTGATATATAGCAGTTTTCGAATGCCACTTCGAAAATTGGGACGTGGTTGTTGATACGAGACATCGTGGTTGTTCGTTACTATATGTATGGATAGTGATCAGTGAGAGGTTCGATAAATGAAGGAGGTGTTAGGACAGTCATGTAATATTGAACAAGTGCTTACCAGAAGATTCAAAGTGAAGGTTGATAAGGAGGAAAGTTTCAAGATCTTTTTAAGTGATAGATTCTTGAGGCAGTTGTTGAAACTGAGTGAAGTTATGAAGAGACAATCGAAGGAGTGCCGATTAGAGGTAGGGCTCTTAGATTCAGCAAGATTTGTGCGATATATTGCGTGAAAAGGCAAAGAGAATCAATATCCGCGTTTTGAGTTGATTTGAAATGTGCTATCGATGAAAAGAAATCCCTTCTAGTAGAAGAGAGAGCTAAAATGTAAACAAGAGTTCACAACTAAATCAGTAATAAGAAGATATTTGTTATGTGTTCGCAAATTTTGTGTTTATGAAAGTAGATGTTGTAGTAATGGACGTGGATTACTTTGTTTGTTTGAATCTATGTCCAGTACAGCCTCAGTTAAAGATTCACCAAGATCAATGCTACCCCTCCAAATAATGCCTCCCAAACCCGAGCCCGGGGTTTGGCCGAGATGAGTTCATATTTTCATGATTGGAGAGAGAGAGATATATATAAAGACTATACCTGGATAAGAACAATTCACCTCTTGTAACTACTCTAAGAACCAACCCACTTCTAGGCCCTTCAACAACATATGAATCAGGACGATAATTCATTCTTATGTTAGTGGTCAATCTTTGACTGTTTCTCATAGATTTGATACTTTTCCAAACAGAAATAAACTACTTGAAGTGTTTCGTCAACTCTACCCTTCTGTTCTACATCTAAAGAACAAGGAAAACTCATCAGATCTACGCCTATAGAAACCTGTAACCTTCTTCATACGCAGACTTGCACAGCATAATCTATCTTGAATACTTTGTTTAGCACAACTGCGACTTTTCGGCTCCAACAACCTCCTCTCTACACGAAGACATGCAACTTCATTACAAGCTCTCTTTGAAGTTCTCATCCGAATTGAGCTTGCATCTGCTTCTTTAAAAAGGTTAATCAGCCCAAATCGAAATCGAAGGAAAGTCCTGCACTCAATCTAACCTATCTCCTCTGCGAATATTAGACAGTCATTCAATTCAAACTACTATTCTTGGCTGTTCTTCCTCGCCTGGACACGCATAATATCCCGCTGGATCTCAAGCCTTCTCGTCGGGTTTGACTACATCCTCTGAATACTAGGATAGGGCAATACTCAGATCAGCCTCCATCTGCCTGTCTCTTTAGAGCAGCTTTATTTAGCTGGGTACTTATTTCATGGGGATAAATAGGGCGAACATACATACGCGACTCAGAATTATACATCCCCTCGACAACTCTGAGGTAGCAAAATCCTCTCGACTACGATCATCCATTCCCGTCGTCGCCACTCTTAATGACATCGAAGGAAGCCCTACCCTCAGACCAATACCCTCCCTCATCACTTTCAAAAAAGAAGATCAATACAATGAATAAACGATCTAATTCGAGGACCGATGATGATCGTACCAGGGATGCACAAGCTCACGAGCTCCAAAGTACCTTTTCATCTAGGTGTCAAGATCCAACAACCTCATCTCGAAATCGTGCAGATGTGGATCAAGTCAAGTCGCTTTCCGAAACCAACAGTCTCTATGAAGTGTCTAATGCAGCCACCGAACTTCCCGCCATGTCTGACCATATCCCAGACCCATGCATGCTGTCCCAAACCTCTGCTCGCTATCCTAAGCTGCCTGATAGAGTTCCAATCACTTCAAATGGCTCAATCCAAAATCGCTTGCTACCAACTAGCATCCAACCTCTTACAAACTTGACAACTTTTACATTGTTTCCGAAACTTCCCCTTGAGATACGGCGAATGATATGGAAAAAGACTTTGCCCGGCCCAAGGATTATTCTCATACGGTCTATGATGAGCAAGTGGCCCCTTCGAACTACTACCCGACTTCCAAGGGATTATAATACATATAAATCCAATTACGCTATGCCAATTGCAATGCTAGTGTGCAAGGAAGCTTCAGATGGTAAGATCCCTTAGATTTCCATATTTTTCTAACAGATTGCTCAAGATATATACAATTGTGGAGAATCTTACGTGCAATAGAAATTAGCTATTCCAAACCATTTTGAGAAGTTTGCTTACAGGTGCTAACTTCTTGTACGGCGATTTTAGAGGAGTCTCGATTGGTGCGAAAAGATTTTATCTGTAAAGATGTTCCAGGACCATGCCTACAGAACAAGATCGTTCTGAATTACAGAACCGATTCGATATACCTTCACACGGATGACGAACAAGAGGATGCGGCTATTTAATATTCCAGAAGGTGGCGTCCCATTGCCATCTTTTTGGATCTCTGGTCTGATCTTCGCTTTTGGACAAAACTCTCGCATCTCATACTCTCGATTCCCGGGATGTACAAAGATAGATACAATAGCGATGACTTTCGGAAATATATTAGAAGCATATTTGCGCATATAGAAGGATTGAATCGCTTAACTTTCGTCCTGGGAGACAAAACAGAGCATTTACCATATGCAGAGAGAAATCTTGCACTAGAATACCCAATGGATCTTGACTACGCTCTGGATTTATACGCAAAGCACCCCCGAGAAGTGTCGCGCGAAGAATCATTGAGACTTGGGGAATGGTACAAAGAATATTCTCCAAGCTTTGTGGAATTTGATATGGATGCTCTGAGAGAACATCCGTATCGGAATAATTGGACTTCTACTAGCAGGCCGTTGATTATTCCTAGAGATGCAGTTGTCGATTTTAAAATTATAGTTGAAAGGGAGAAGTCAGAGGAGTTGGCAAGAAGAAAGAAAAGATTCTATGCAGTGAAGAGACAGATTGCTGAAGAGGAAGATATATCATGGGATGATGTTTGCTATCAGGGGCCCGCCAGGTAAACCTAGATGGTGTTATGAATCAGTTGGTCGTCTTGAGCTTTAAGGTGCTGGCCGCAAGGCTACTTGGTTTGCTCCTCTTAATTGTATTTCATTTCACCTGTCATACCAATCACAATTTTGCAATATTTCAATTCATCTCGGGTAGCAACTTCGTCATGTATGGCTTAAAGTGTTGAAGAATAGCCCACGCAATGATGACACGTTATCCAATATTGACCAACATCCAAAGGTATAACCATCAAACTCGAATGAATCAAACTGATTAAGTATACGGTGACTTTGTATTCATCAAGATTCATAGCACAGAGTTCGAACTACATAACAATCTCCATGAGGCTTTACATGCACTAAGCGAGACACCCTGAATTAGAAACCATATTGAGGAAAAGCTATCTCGCTTGCACATCTAGGTAGAACAATGCAGTTGGTGTTTAAAATTCAAATGTCATCATAGCACCATCTTGTAGTACATATTGGACAGAACATATGAGATTAACTAATTGGTATTCCGCGATATCTCTAGAGCTGGAATCCCGAGTGATAGTTACTCGGGCATTCACAACCGCTAGAATATCATTCCCGACTATCTCGCAATCCTCTCCTCCCCCTCGCCCATTCCAAAATCCTTCAAGAACCTCCCCCAAACAGCCCCCTTCCCACTCTCCCCTACCGCCACACTCCACAAAACTCTCGCAGCACCATCTTCCCATCCAATTGGACATCCATCCCACTCACCATTCCTCTTCCTATTCTCAATCACTTCTTTGGCTGCACTCAAATACCCAGGATCCACACTATTCATGGCTACTTTTTGATCTCGCCATGCAGCTGCTGCTTCGGTTTCCGTAAGCATATTGAGTGCGGCTTTTGCAAGATTCGTGTGCACGTGATATCCGTTTTTATGACGGTTAGTGGGTGTAGATTCGAATACTCCCTCGCGAGCTGAGACATTGATGATGTGGGCTAGAGGCTTGGCAGGCTCACCATTCGTTGCTGGTTGTGGACGGGTATTACCCATAAGAGGAAGAAGTTCGCGGATCAGGATTAGAGGGACGAATGTATTGACTGAATGCGCGGAAATGACGTCTTCATAAGGTATTTCGTATAAGCTTTGAACCCAAGAGGTCTTGGGTTCTTCCATTATTGTTGAGATTGAAGTATTATCTTCTGTTCGTCCGATTAATCCGGCTTCTTCGGTAGATATCTCGTTGAGACGCTTTTGTTCTGTATCAAATCCTAAAAGATTTAAACTCTGAACACCACCTCTTATCCGAGGATTATAACTGGTATCAAGGAGTAGATTGTCATACTTATCATCCTCAAGTCGTAGCTGATTTTCCAATTCAATAGCTCGTCTTTCTTCTTTCACCGAATCTGTCCAAGTTTGAGCTGCATTATTTATAAGAATATCAAGTCTTGGTATATTTTCTGTACTCCAGTTTCTCAGTAACAGCTTAATCCCAGCGACCAGATGGAAGACGTCGTTTGCTGCTCTGAAGTCGGCTCCTAGGATTCTCAACCGCTTGACCCATTTTCCGGAGTCGCTCTCCGCTAGATATCTCACCGCTGCGTCTCGTGGATATCTAGAGGATACCATTACTTGAGCGCCACATCTAAGCAGTCGTAATACAATATGAAAGCCCAGGTTAATTCGTCCTCCTGTTACCAATGCCGTTTTACCATCCAAATTCAGAGCTTCAGGCAGTGAAAGATTGCTTGATGCGAGATTGAAACTTCCGCAGGGTTTACAAAGAGCGGGATATTGAGGATGAGGACTTGTAATGAGAAAGTGACAGAGATAGCATTTTCTTTCTTTTTTCCTTCCTCTTATTAATTCTTCGCTTGCCGTGGAAAATGGGCTTCGTAGACGCTGGTTTAGAACCTGCACTATATTGTGTAATGGTGTTTTCCCATCAATATGAATGCCATCCTGACTCTTGACATAGAAATCAAGTACTCTAAGCGTAGTCTCGACATCTTCTATAGAAGGTGGATTCTCAGTAGCGACTCCTAGAGCATCCGGAAGACTTCCATGCATAGATTGAGGGCTCATTTGGTGGAGGTAGGCTTGAACTCCCTGTATGATGCCCTTATACAGAGCCGCTCCTATTGAATATGAGTACCGAGCCGGCGCACTTTTAGGATACAGCTCTTTCGCTATTTTCTCGCCCAAGGGAGATTCGACGTGAGGAAGGTATAGGGCCAAAAGACTAGGAAGCCCCTGTGTTTGGCATAACTCCTGATCCTGTCGAATTTGTTGGGCTATTGAAGAAGGGGTGTGGGTTTTCATATAGGCCTGGCACGATTCTTCGGTGTCCAACATAGCTACCAGAATAATTCACAGCGAGATATTTTGTGACTGCTTTTTTTTTTTGTTTTATCCTTTGGATTACTCACTGAGCCCTATAGGTGGGGGGGCTTTAAGCTTATTTATGGCGCAGATGATCGACCATTTCAGGGGTTTGGCGGCCAAGCCCCACTAATGCACCATCGTGCTGGGCATTGGAAATAAGCAGAAATAAGCAGACGTCCTCCATATTCGTGACTCATTTTAATCTTACACAATGAATAGCAAAACCACAGTATCGCCCTGCATTGTAGTAATTCTATCTTAGACCGATAAAGTTCTTCCAAATTCGGTGCATAATGGACTCCAATGTTTGGTCGATTCCATGGCCACGCGAACTTCCAGTCGTGGTTCGGTGCTTGCAAAAGCTACCGCGAGAAATAGTACATCAAGTTTCGAGCGATCTACCCGTCATCAAGATATTGTCGATTCTCTCTTGGCAATTACCATACCTCGACGAATGCGTTCTTTCTCATATAGTCTATGGACGATTATTCAGCTCACAAGATGAAATCTCGCATGCTTTAAATCATTACAAACTTTACCGCGAGATATGCTGGTTTTACCGCTGGCCTCCTGCAGACGCACAATCTGTGTTTGCAAGATCACCCCAGATGCTCTTGAGTAAATGGGTAAGCTTGGATCTCTTAATCTCGAAAATGAGACGCCTGATTAGAGCTGGCTTGAACATAAACGATGATGATTTCGATCTTCTCGTCAAGTGTGGAAGACCTCTTCTATGCAATACAGACGTTGGTTTTGATGAGAATGAATCTTTCCTCAATTTGAAAAATTGCTGGAATCATTGGAATTGGATCAAGCATGCCAAGGTGAGGCTCAACAAACGGAAATCCGACCAAATAAGATTCTCAGCAAATTTGATGGAGAAATATCCGCGAGTTCTTAAGAGACCGCTTGATCCATCGCAGGGAGCTCCTCGGCCCAACACTACTCATACTGTGGTTATGCTTGAGAGACTAGCGATGAGAACTCTTCGGGATAGAAATTTATCCCATTATTGGGATCGTAATCAAAGCCTGTACATGTCGGGCAGATATATTATTGAACTAGTACCATATGATCGATACCTTCGGCTACTACTTGATACGTTAGCCAAGTATCCACTTGATGTCGAAGTCACTGGTCTTGAGGAATCTTTAGCCAACGTCTCTTTACATAACAGCGGCCAAGGAATAACTCTAGAAAATACAGAGTCGGCTACTATTTCGCAAATAGATCCTGATGACTTCAAGTACCCAGATTATATTGCTGCTGGTTTAAAGGTAGTACTAAAGGGCTTAATGTATATATACACAGAGCCGCCGTTGACTATACCTCGCATTCAATACGAATCACTTGGAAATGATAATTCGTCGGAGAAGTGGCCAAGATTCTTCGTTGATAAAGGAGTAAATATACATCCACACTTCGAGCATCCATGCGAAAATCAGCAGATAAGACCTCACGATAAAAGAGAGTATGAATGGCTAGCAGCTTTTGTCGAAGTAGTCACATGGATAGAATTGAATATTGCGCCGATAAAGGAAGAATTTTAAATCGCCATCGATTGGGAATCCTCTTACTCATGTCAGTCAGTCTAAAGCTGCTTGGAAAAAGCCTTAGTTATGCTTTTGCGAAGGAATTTTGGTCAGATTTTCAGAGTCATTGGGTGGGCCATAACCCTAGAAAGAACATCGTTACAGACGAGAGCAATTCCAAATTAGATAACAGTTTGTCAAATTTCGAAAGTTGAATGCTCGCTGTGTCACATGTCTCACTAAAAATATACGCGGAAAAGAACTCAGATAGATTGATATTCTTTATTTGATTGATTTGATATAATTCAAGAACCCAAGTTCAATATGTATAGAAGAAGTGATTCTATTCTACCACCTGAAACAGCTTTCAGAAAGTGCCGACTCTGTTGGAAAGTAAAGCGGACCTGCGAATTGCTTGCAGAATGAATGCTAGGCACTATGGCAATATTGGGGTCTTCAGATTTTTATAGAGCCACCATAGCTCCAGCTCCTAGGGTCAAGATTCCTTTCGCGTTCGTTCTATACATTTTTGAAGTTCTTGCCCTCTCCTCACACCTGATGAGATTGTTCGATAGCTTTGATTTCACCCAAAGACTTACCTGAATACCATCATCCAGAAACAGAATCAAGAGGGTAGTTCGAGGGTGGACGATGGAGCCTAGGCCGAGATTTCGAATTCTACTACAGGCGTTGGGCAAGCAGGGTTTCTTCCGTTCTCCTCCCGAAGTGCACTCTGCATTTCTTCGATGCAGACGCTCTGTTTTTTTCTACAAGCGAATGCCTCCAAAAGTTCTTGAGGGATCTCTGCTATGGGTGCTGTGAGGATGTATTTCTTCAGATTCGGCATCAACGTGACCGAGTGGTGGCCCAAGAATTTCAATCCATTGTGACAATTCCAATGTGAATGCTTGACAGTTCTAAGTTCATTGAATAGGTTATACATCCAAGTTCCAACTGTACGTCCAGAATTATCATTGCGATAATATAGAAGTATGTCATCAAAGTCCCAATACTCCCCCGAGCATTTTGCGCTACTGCAGTCAAAGGTATCTTTATCGGGATTGATGAAGAAAGTTCGATACAAACCATTTTGATTGGAATTGAGATCACCAAGGTGTAGTCGCACTTTCTTATAATGCTTTTAGGCCTCTTCACGGCTTTCGCGGTTGACAAACAGAACTGATGGTGTTGGCGCACCCAAATCGAAAGTTACATCCGTTGGATGAGTAGTTATTTCGAGTAGGCGCTCCTGCGAACAAGCTAGACCCCAAATCACCAACCTTAATTCGATGGTGAGCCGAGGAAATGGTTCGAATGTACTAGGTGCTTCTCTCAAAATGGTATCCGAGCCTGTAACGGTCCCGCTCCCAGGAAGCGATTCGAGCGTGCTGGCACCTTGTTGCATGTCGGTCGCAGGAGTTGTCTCGCCCTCCTTGGCGCATGAACTGGAGTTATTGGTTTCTTGTTGTAAATTGCAGTTGGTCAATTGTGCAACATCGGAATTTAAGTTATCGAGTGCCCCATCCATCATTGCGTCGGTATTTGACATCGTATGCGGTGATATCTTCGGGAAGCTTTGTCTGTGTAGTCTTTTCAAGTAAAGTAAGGGTCGAAGGTGGTGATATGATAACTGAATGCGAGACAGATATCGATGCAGAAGTACCTAGATGGAGAGAATGCAGTCATATTTATAAAAAGAAATTGAGATGCGAGCTAAGAGTTTGCTGTTAGCGAGATACGCTAATGAAGTTATTCACTTGAAGCGACCGTAGTATTCACTTGAGTTTTGGGTTTGCACATCCTTAAATATTGCAATATAATCACCGTAATTATACAGCAATTGCTTGGCTGATTCTAGAAGGTGCTGTCGTTTAGACTCAAAGCGTGGAACATTGCAACTGAACAATGAAATTCTGAACACACTCTAGATCTTGAAACATCGCATCTACAGTCTTTCATTGATCCAGACTATTTCAATGACCAATTCCCCATCACCAAGATGATACAACCAAAATTCAACACAATCACATTCCAAGTATCGTACAGTAACAAACCTGCGGCCACCCCGTCATTCCTAAGATGCCGTACTTAGGACTCACATCTATCTATCCATTCGGAATACTTCCCACTAGCGAAAAGTCTACACCACTATCTTATTATGCCCATCACCCACTTCACAAAACATTTCAACGAGCTCGGAGGTTAAAAAAATGGATTTCCTATCCATTCACTGTTTACAACAACCGGGAGGAGTTCGACAAACAGATCAGAGAAATGCTACTACAAGGGTTCATGGCAGCTATCTGTGAAATCTTTGATGATGCGGGACTATCAATTAGAATGTTTGCTTCACAGATTTTGTCAAGTCTTGGGGAAAAGAAAAGTGCTTTGAAGAATTGGCTGGGAACCAAGAGGCGGAGAGTGCACCGATGTAAAAAGAAGACGGAATGATACTTGAGGGAGTTCGGTAATGACTGTAGAATAATCTTTGAAATATTAACCTCTTTGAAGATGCTGTGTGCGAAACTGTTTCAGGTGATGATATTTTGGGTAAAAACATTAGACAATAGACTATAAACATAACCCATCTACTCGAAGTGGCTTCCGAAGAAGCGTTGGTATTTTTAAAAACAATGGTATCTAACCCGAACCCCATCCGTATTAGATACACCAACACCTAGTGTACGCCGTGAACTCCGTTCTCAATAGTAACGCCAATCATCAATATAAATAGGTAATAATAAAATCAAGAATGTAACTCGTAACGATGTTTTCTTTCATATACCACATCACCTCATTCATGCCATAGAATCCTCCGAACGAACCCTCATACTGTGGATCTCTATGTCTGTTGTTCTTTGTATATATTTATCACCATGCATAGCTTGCGGATAAACATGATCAGTCGAACTGTCCGCATCTAAGCTTTGTTTCATACAAGACATTCGACTTTTCCTTCTAGTTGGTAATGAGCTGAGATGACTGTTGTAACTATTGTCGGGACTACCGTATGATCCAGGATTCTTGCCGCTGACATATCGATCCCAATATGGTTTGAGTGGAGGAATACTTCCACAAACAATAATAACGAAAAGTTCCGAGCCGCTCCATACGAGCAAATCGTAAGTCTTCCCTGGTTGTTGTTAGTTCTTTGTTGTGTTACTGCCGAGATATGTTTGGTAAGCTTACAAGTAAGATCGGAGTGGGCGTTAAGTGAGCCCAAAAAGGTTGTTTTGACGATACAGCAAACCGCAGCACTGGTATTGTTAGTGCTTATGCTCTCAAATGAAAGGAGAGTAACTTACATAAGTCCAAGACCCAAAAGTATGGTCAAGTTGACACGTTTCTTCATATCCATGTTCAGATTCATGATGATACTGGCAGGTACAAGTGCGAGCACAATGTCCGCAAGACAATTTTCAGCTAATACACCTCGTCAGCAAAACTTCTTTGATTGCTGTAGATGTTGCAATACGAACCTGCAGTAAACATAGCGAATCTAGATTGAACATTAGGATCCCAGCACGTGTGTGGAATACTCGAGTCCCACAATGCTTTAGGCGGGCTGCATTGCACATAGGTAAAGATACAATCTAGTCCATTGATCAAAGCAGTGAGCCCCATAGCTCCATAGACAAGCCATTTACGCCAAGCAGTTGTCTCACCACTCATGATTCGAAGAACGAGAAATCCCACTGCAGCTTTCCCAGTGATGAAGGCGAAGACAATGACCACTTGGATTATATAGTTGAACTTTGCGGCCTTCATTGTTTGCTCCAGACTGAGATAAAATAGATGTCGAAACCCTCCAAGTTTCCATTCGTATGTCATAAGACCGCCATATGTTATAAAAAGACACTATCATTAAGTTAGAACAATGTCATATAAGTCTTGAAAAAGATGTGCGTACCAAAGTAACAAGCATGACCCAATCATCCCTCCCAAGCCCTTTGATCATGATTCTGGCATAAAATCTTGCCATGACAATCACGAAAGCAAACGCAATCTGGGTCAAAACGATTATAGAAGCCGTTATTCCCCTGTCAACGTCTCCGCCTGCTGGTACTTCGGTGCCAGGCATATTGACAGAACAGATGTATAGGCTGATATAAAGTCGATATGAAACAATTGAGCGTCAAACAGCAGTTCAAACAAACTTAATCAAAAGCAAACCCAACGATCATGATTCATGTTCAATGTTAACGGGGTAGATCATCTGTTAAACTACTTGAGCATCTTTCTTGGTTGAACCCCCGCAATGATATCGATATCCTATCGTAAGCACTGCCATGACCTAGAGTCGATCCACTTTGGTACTGGCGTCGCATGGCGACAAGGGTACAAGAAAATCATTCGAAGAATTTTCGCACAATCACTTTCACCGGTGAATTCCATTCCTGGAGCTTGGAACCGCGGTAACAAGCGAATTGAAAGGGGGGTTTGCAATTGCTATGCTAGCAAAACCGATACACGACATGCCATGTCTCCTAGCTCTCTACAGGTGTTGTTCTTTGCGTTGTTCTCTTGACGGAAAAAATATATACTTACTACATAATAAGACTCGGGCCCATGGTACGAATGTCATTGTCCTGGAATATTCCGTGCGCCTCAGCTCAGCCGTTGTTATAGTGCCAATGAGACTGAATGTACACAATTGATATGATAGGTTATTGCTCGTAAATCTACGTAAAAGAACCTACAGAAGCAAGTAGAAATAGTGTGTGACCGAAAGGTCAAAAGAAGAAGCCGAACCCGAAGAGTGATATCAATAACGGGGATTGTCCTGTGTTGAGTATCCTGAATTCCTTCCAAAGTCCTGATCGGACTACGTGTTGAAGCATAAATATATATTCCTGGCCATTTAGTGATCGTCGTAACGCTGTGGAAATTATTTCTTGCTGTCACAACTCGATCTGAATGTTCAATACTTTGTAAATGCTGCAGTAGCAATTGCACAAGTTTGTGAAAGGATCTTGTTAGGGCTTTGTGCCATGTCCATACATACCATGAAATTCCGACAATAATGCAACCTTAAAATAGACCTCTACGATTCAGCCAATGTTGTGTGAAAATCCCCTGTGGCCATGCATCGCTTCTACCTACCCATGCAGCAGAGCTCCCTAACATGGATCAAATCGAGGTTCAAACGTGGGGGCTTCATAGTATGCAGATTGACCAGAATTTTATAGATGGGAGCGTTTGCATATAGCGGCCCTTTTTGATAGTATCACCTCACACTGTGAAATATATAACCACGTCGGAAATCACTCGTATCAACCTCGCAGGCGCTACAACTTTAGATCGATATTGCACCGAGAAGCACATGGTCAGTTCAGTGCATACTGTCACTTACCGTATCTGTCACCACCCACGATTTTGAATCCGTGCGTGAAAGCTTGGATGTGACCCACCATTGGACCTATAACAGGACAGGCGAACCAAGGCCGTGGTAAAGGGTGCGAGTACCCCGCTCAATTAACCAGATCCTTGGGATATGTAGCAGTCATTGCCTTGCGCACTATGAATGTCTTAGATGGCACACATCAACTAGCAGTAATGGTACATTGTTGCGGACCAGGAATTTCAAAGATATAAAATCGGCTACGAAGCGCCCACAGCCTTTAGCGCACGAACGATATGTGGAGACTAATTGAGTGGAATTCGCGGGATAAAATATCTAGCACTAGACTACTGTGAGAATTTTGGACAAAAGCAATCTCAAAATTAATAAAGAGTCAATTGCAATTTGCCATTGACTATGCTTAGGTAATTTGAGGCCTAGCTACATTCTCATCACACCTTTACCTATCAACCCTAGATCTTGACCAGAGTGTACGAACCCGAGAACCTTGGAATCAGACTGGAACCGCCACAATTATGCTATCTCCGAGAGAAGCGGTGTATTTGACGATTTTCTTTGCTTGAAGACCGACAGATGCTAAGAGAGCATGCCATTCTCCTTCGGTTCGCTCAGTTGATGCGAGGACAGTCATCATCACCAAGTCAATCTGAGTTGCATGCCAGTGGGCGCCTATCTCAGGGAGAACCATCTCGTCAATCAAAATGGCTGAATCTGGGCCCATTGCATCTCTCAAATGCTGCAAAATGATGCGACATTTCTCATCGGGGTAGTCATGAAGAATGTTGCGCATGTAGTAGTATTTTGCACCTGAAATGCTTGTCAATACGTAACCACAATCTCGCTAGTAGGATTGCAACAAACCTTTGACTGTTTGAGGCGTGAAAAAATCATGAACTTCGAGCTCCACGTCCTTCATTGGAAGTGCATTTTTGATAGCATGATCAAGCTCCTGCAAAATTACGCGACCAGGGACGTCGGGCTTCTCCATTCTCAACTCTAAACACTTATGTCCGAAACCACCGCCGACATCAACAAAGACAGGCTCCTTAGGATTCCAGTCTTTGGCCTCTTCTTCGATTGGGTACTTAGAGAGCCAAGTCGGCATCTCACCACGCTGGCCTACCATGAAATCTGCAAAGTAGTTGATCAGTCTAGGCTGTTCTTGAATCCAATAGAAGTATGGGGTTTCAGTTTTGAAGGCAATCTGAGCAGGTGCACAAGTGTTGTCTGTGATGTTCTGATATTTTCTCTCAGCCAAATACTCAGGCGTAGCTTGGAGTGTAGGGCCAAGCGAATGAAAGCTGCGGATGTTATAGTTAGCAATGGATGTACCCGAAAGTCATCAAGGCTGTTTGAAGAGATCACTGACTAGTGGCCAATACCGCCTTTGTAGCCCTTCTGAGCCAATGCCTCGGTAACCTTGCTGGCCTCAAAAGTGTTTTTGCCAGTCTCTCGAATCATTCGTACAGAGGCAAGATATCGGAGCAAGCGAACTAGTTTGCTGTGAGAAGGGGCCAAATCTGAAGCTGAGGATCGAACTCACCTAAGAAGGCCGGATCTGACTCGGTTTCTTTTGCTAGCTGCTCAACAGTCATTGGCTCCTTCTTTGCGACCATGATCTCAAAGAGCTTCATATCACAACCAATCTGTGCGCCTGTCAATTGGAATTGCTAATAAAGTTTGAGTTAGCAGAAGTCACGTTTGTTCTTGTAATCCGAATCAGAGTAGTCCATACCAGATACATGATACGCTGCATAGAGTCCCATGGTGTTTCTAATTCAATGGAAAGATCTCTGAGATCGTCAATGATCTTCTTTCGCCCTGCCTCATCAGCATTTGCAGCGGTGGCCTTCACGTGAGCGATGAGATCATCCATTGTGATGTTAGTGTGACACTTGAAGTTGAAGTTGTTTTAGGTTTGGTCGTGAAGTAAAGAGTTTTGTTGGGAATAATGTTTGCGTACTGTCAAGTTAGGTTGTTTATGGAGAGTTTTTATAAGCACATGAGGATATAAAAGCCATAAGCCCCCTGCTCCTTCTTCAGAATTTAAGTGATTGTTATCTTAAAACAAAGCATAAATGACACTCACATGATGTGACTGTTTGACCGCAGGAACTACCGTAGTACGGCCTTTTCTAATCAACGAGATACCAGTTGAAATGGCGCAGGGGAGTTTTTCGATAGGATCACTCAAATTCGGGACACCTGCCATTAGTTCACCGCACATAGGGAGTCGCCTCAGCCCTCTTTCAACGCCTCCTTTTTATATACATCACGTTGAAACTTTTCTTCTTTGCTACCAATTAAGATTAGTCTCCCAATACTATAGTACAGGAACTTATACCGGAATCACGAAGCCCATAGTAATTCCAAATAAGCAGATCGTCTACCTAGACACTGCTAAGCGTGGTGATAATTCCGAATTCAAACTGACATGATCTCCCGTCGTCAAATCTGTAACCAAGGTTCTAGATTCGACATGGCCTTTTGAATTCCTTCAAAGGTTCAGATGTACACAACATATACGATGCCCAAACTTCAGAGTTGCATGATTATTAGTGCTCGTAGCAGTAAGGTTAGGTAAGGGCCTCAGCTGAATGAGTAAGCTGCAAGAGACGCATGTCACACGTGAGTTACACAAGTTTTCAACCTCCAAGGAGGTGCACATATTTGGCTTTTCGATAATACTACGCTATGGTTTACCCCGGATTAGGATTTCTTATTGAAATTCTGTTCTCGTTTTCCCGTGGTTCTAGCTTGGTACCGGCTCTAGAGGTAACAATAAGGTGAGATTCCCTGCATGAGCAAACTCCTCCACAGGATCGATTGCGAATGCAGCGGTAATCTTCGATGTACGACAAGTATGAGGTGAGGTGAGTCACCACAGGGAAGATGTACAAATAGGATACGAATATGCTTTGAGTACCTAGGTAGGATCCGTGTCTGCACAGCCAGTGGCTCACGAACGGCAAATGGTAACTCAATGGATGGAAAACAGTCCTCCAACCGAGCAAATGCGAGTGATTGATTACGCAATTTTGGACGTGAGTGGTGAATGGTCTCTTTCCATTCTCATTCTTAGACTGATTTGATCAGGCTTGTACACCAGGATCGACAATACAATTCCTCCTAAGCTTCAGCAATATCCAACATTCTTGCGTCCGATAAATCTGACTCGTACCGTTTATTTGGGCAGAATCGCTGGGTCAACCATCTTCGATCTCACAAGAAATGTAAGGGGTTTTCATCAGATCGCTGTCGTAAACATAAAGCCGATCAATGCCAGATCAGCAATATATTCTAGAAGAACTAATGACTCTTGTGATCTATAATTTTTATCAAATCAATCATGTAATGGGTATCGCAAATAGCCAAGACTTCCAGCCCATATAACGCCGTAGTGTCTCGCCGTGTGGTATTCATCTCTCTGTGGCAGGTGTATCGAATTGATGAACCCACCATCGTTTGCTCGACGGCGTTTTCCTCGCTTTGAACTATCCCTTTTTCACCTCGCCCATCCATTTTCCCATTGCCTTGGATCCCTCGTGTGCCGCCTTGAATAATCCGCGTTCCGCCTCATCCAAACCCCTCAAGAACTCTACTCCTTCTCCTCCGCCTCTGCCATTACTCTGTCCTACACTTCCACTCCCCGCATGATCACTGATTTCACCAGCTCTTGTCCTCCAACTCTCCATTAATACGTCGCAAACCTCTTCCTCCTCGAATAACTCCAAGACTCTGACGCCCAATCCATAAAAGTTCTGTGCCAAATTGCGTAAATCGACACTCTTAGGGTCGGCTTTCAATGCATTGAGAACGCGCGGCGCGAGACAAACAGGTAG